CTAATGTATATATGGGTTTTAATTTATAAAATTAATTTGAAATGTTTGATTTCTCACATGGTTTTGATTTATGAAATGGGTGTGATTCTTTAAAAGCTAATATGTATGTATTTGTGTGTATTATATATATAATTTTCATTTTGGATGTATATGTATGATTCCAATATGTATGTATATATATGATTATGGATGTATATCTATATATGCATTTTGATCCCAATCTGATATGCATTTTTAATTAATCTGATATGATTTGTGTGAGTGATTTTCCGATCACACTGCACAACTCAGTATTCGGCTAGAAAGCACTGGCAGAATAGATGACACTTGGCTGACCTGCAATAGAAAGAGAAGATTCCAGCGGTAGTTCGTCCACCCGGGGGTACTCCGACGATCAAGTCAGTATATCTCTCAAAGATAATCAATAGTGCTAAACTCACTATACTGAATATAAATTGCGTACCTTAGACCCATCGGGGGTGCCTCTCTTTTATAATTAACTCAATCCTTGTCCCACTAGAAGCCTAGCTTCAATGGACTCTTACTCATTGCTTATCCTGGACTCTCCAAGAGATAAAGATAAACTCCCTAAGAGTGTTATCCTTATCCATTCTAAAGTCCTTTATCATTTTAGGACTCTTGTCCCTTATCCACTTATCTTGGATTCCGATATCTTCAGAGATAACCTCGGCCTTGCCGAGATAACCTCGGTGTCACGACCTGGACACGTGGCACCTCGACTGACACGTCGGCGTCACCTTGGCCACGTGTTGGGACTTAGAAAATATATCCCCACAATTGCCCCTAGGTTCTATTACCTCGGCATTGCATTCTGAGGTGATGGAACCTATACCAGTACTTGTAAAAATACATCAGCTTGAGTGTCTTAGCCGAGATCACTATCTCGTCCGACATGTTTTCTTTAAAGATCAAGTCCTCCAAATGCTCTTTCATGCGCATGAGCTGTCGTGCATAACAACTCAACCGTTTTTAGCCACGCGTCTTTTTCTCACTGGATCATAGTTGGTACGCGTTTTTTAATCGTCTTGCGCATGCATGCACCATCTGACGCTCATGTTGTTTTAGGTGCATTAATCCTGTTTTGCCGCCGTTTCAAGTTTTAACAAAAACTTTTTTCCCTCATTTTTTCGTTTCACTTTTTGTTCAATCTTCTAGCTCTTTCTCTCTCTAGCTTTCTTCCTCAGATCCGCCACTGCTCAAGCTTTCTGAGCTCTGTAACTTGCTTCGTTTACCATCTCCGGCGTGATTTCCACCAATCTTCCGCCTCTGCAACTGTCGTCAGACCTCGACAAATCCCATCCCAGCTTCCTTCTTTCTGGCAAGCCACCATTTCCCCTAGTTCTTATTTCTTGTTGCTTTTCAAGAAATTCTTCTTCATTATTAGTCGCAATTGCTGTTTTATTCAAGTTTTTAATTGATGAATCTTGTATCTGAATACGTTTATTTCACAACCTTGATTTTTGCCCATGTCTTGAGTATACGCACTGTTCACAACTTTTTTGCACTCTTGCCACTGTTCTTGACTTTATTCCCTTTGTACTTGCGATGTTCTTGATAGTCTATCTTTGTTCTTGAATCTGAATCGTATTCTTGTTTCTGTTTGCCATGTTTTTCTAGAATCTCGTCTTTGCTTTCTTAGATCTAGGTTTGGGATTTGCTTGTAGAACCCTCGATTTTTTAGGAAAAACTGAAACTATTCCCATATATTCTGTGTATCTTCCAGCTTTAGCCGAGGTCCATAAAAACCCTTTAGAGATACCCCTTTTGAAATCCAACCTTTTGAGTTTAAACCGATATCATGGGTATGTGGAAACATAGAGTAGATACTCCGAGCAAATTAGATCACTTTAGGTGTGAATTTGACATCCCTGTCGATGTCCATCTGAGATTGGCTGGGGATGACGACTCCATCATGCCCACCACTAATTCTATGCCTTTTCCTGTAGTGGCCTTTATAAAGTGCGGACTTCGGCTTCCACTCAACATCTTGTTTTGCGAGATAATCAACTACTATAAGTTGAACCCAATGCAACTTGGCATCAATTCCTATCGAGTCATTAATGGCATAATAACCTTAGCCAAACAAGAAAACGCTAGGATCACCTTAGCGATATCCAGTACTGCTACACCATATGTGGCCTCAAAAGAGATACGGGCTATGTTTACTACCTCAAGCCAAGGTCTACAGAGTACAAAATTGTAGTCGACCTCCCAGACTCCAACAAGGGAGCTGGAGACGATTACTTTATCACCTCGGGGAACTAGGGGTTCGCTCCAGATGAGGACCTTCATCTTTACCCTCTTCCTCGAACCGTTTTTGTAGGGGGCAATGGTAAGAGCCCTACGTCCATACTTATTTGTTTTTCAAAAAATTTCAAAGTCTTTAATATTTTATTTGCTTCTAACGTCGATTTTGCTTGCAGCTCTTCCTCAGCCACCAAAGGGTTTCCGTCAGTCTTTCTTTCCCAACAAAGACTTGAGGAGGCTTTTGGATCTGCCAGTTCTCAAGCGGAAGGCCCCTCTGCTTCTCAACTTCATCCCCCACTTATAAGTCGGTTCTTCCCGATGTCCCAAAGAAGAAGAAGAAAAGCCTTTCTCCACTTTCTGCCATAATTCCACAAGTCGCGTCCACATCTCGAACAGACCAAGGATCAACCTCTGATCCTGCTGAGCAGCCGTCAACCTCGGCTCCATACCTGATCCCACCATCTCAACGACATCGTCGGCAACGAATTGTGTTTTCTTCCGAGATGGGCCGCCAGAAAACTGTTGCAAAAGACCTCTTAGCCAGCATCCCTTCCGACATTGACGCTCAGCCAACGCAAACCCAGCCTCTACCAAAGCAAAAAAGAATTAAGAAGGCTCAACCAAAGGCCAAGGTGACCCGGTTGACACTGAGGACACTTTGCCGATCTCCAAACTGGCTGAAAGTGACAAGTCCCAGCCTACCATGGAGAAGAGGCGTGCCGAGGCCTAACCAACCGATTCTCCGAAATCAAAGAGGCCGAGGTCATCCTATGCAACCACCTCGGGGTCCAAAAAACATGATGCCCCCTGGGCCCCCAAAATCACTCTGGAAGATAAGCCAGTTATGGCCAATGATAGTGCCGATGACATTAATGTCGGCGTAGCCCTCAGTACCGCTCTGCTTCTCTCCGGCGATCTTAACCGAAACGCCGAGTTGAGCGAGTATGAAAACTATGCCCTGATGCTTCAACGCTCCGTTCAAGTAAGTGTCTTTATCTGGCAACTTTTCTTTTTTTCTGTTCATTCCATACTTGTAATTTTTTCTAACAATTTCTGTTCTGTTTTACTTTCAGGCCATCCAACATGCCCATTCTTTCTCAGTACAATCTTTTGAGAACCAGGAGAAGCTAGCCGAGAAGAAGAGGGAGGTCTCCACCCTTCAAAAGACTAATAAGAACTCGCAGTCAAAGATGAAGTCTCTGGAGGATCAGGCCGAGGCTGTCATCAAGGCTCAAAATGACGCCGAAGAAAAGGCAGACTCTGCTAAGGCCATCAAGAAGGTGCTTGAGGCCAAGAAGAAGGACGTCGAGGAGAAAACGGCCCAGGTCCAAAAAGAATTGCAAGACACTCTGGCAACCAAAGAGGCCGAAATCAAGGCAGCCGATGAAAAGGGCTACAACAAGGGGGTGACCGACGTCACGGCGGACTACGAAAAGCAGGTGAAGCAGGCATGCAACAGGGGTTTTACCCTTGGTTGGATGACTCTTCTAAAAAAACTTGAAGTCCCCGAGGACTCGCCCCTTAGGAACGCCGACGACATTCCTCTTCCATTCCCTCCAACTCCAACTCAATCCGATGACGACTCTGAATCTGAGGAGGAGGTTTTGATGAGGAAGTCAAAAGATGTTGCTGGGGCCAAGTCTCCTCCTCAAAATGAGCAAGTCCTGGATTTGACTCAAGATGAGGAGGATGATGAAGTCCCCAAGGATGCCACTCCAAAGAAGGCGTCATCGGACGTGCCTACTGCCGACAAGAGCATAGATGAAACCCTTCAAGAAATTGATGCTAAACTTGCGGCCAAGAAGGTTGCCGAGATGTTTTTTCAGCAGTCTTCCGAGATCCAAACCTAGCCTGCTACTGAAAACTCTTGATTTCATGTTTTTCTCTTTCTTTTGTGCTTTGTACTTTTCTTTTTGGAACAATTGTAGGCTTTGGCCGATATGTCAACTTTTTTAATATAACTCTCTTTTCTGAATGCTTGTATGTGTGTCTTCTCTGTATTACTCTTGTATGATTCCATACTTAAAATATATCTTTAGTATACACTTCAATCTCTGTGCAATCTTCTCGGGATAACACACCTCGGTCATATAGACTTCGTTTAATTTTAACTTGCAAAACTTTTCTCAAGTTTCAACTAGTATCATTATCTTGGTTTGACTTCAACTTGTAAACTTTTCTTAAGTTTCAATAAGTGTTAAACATCATATCGATTAACTTCAACTTGTAAACTTTTCTCAAGTTTCAACAAGTGTTAAACATCATATCAGTTTAACTTCAACTTGTAAACTTTTCTCAAGTTTTAACAAGTGGTAAACATCATATCGATTTAACTTCAACTTGTAAACTTTTCTCAAGTTTCAACAAGTGTTAAACATCATATCGGTTTAACTTCAACTTGTAAAATTTTCTCAAGTTTCAACAAGTGTTAAACATCATTTCTTCTCTCTGCCCCCTAATGTGAACCTAAGTTCCACTTGGGGTCTCATTATGCACGTATTTCGAAACAACATTATGTATCTTCATCAGTCACAAATATAGAAGAATTCTACGTAAGTCTTATTCATTATTTCGGCAAATAACAAAGAAAATCTAATGATAGAAAAACTTTAGATTACAAGTATTCTAGGGTCTTGGCAACTCTTTGCCCTCACTATCTTCTAGCTGATATGCCCCGTTGCCCAATACCGAAGTGATTTTGTAGGGTCCTTCCCAGTTTGGGCCATGCTTGCCCTCCTTGGGATCCTTCTTGTTGCCGACGAATTTTCTCAGGACTAGGTCGCCGACTTGGAACTTCCTTGGGTTGACTCTTTTATTATAAGCTCTGGCAAGCTGCTGTTGGTAGGCTGCAAGCTGAATTACAGCTTTCTCTCTTCTTTCTTCCTCTTCGGCTAGGCCCGAGCCGAGAAGAAAGAAGCGTTCTTCATCCCCCTCTTGGACGAGGATTTTCTTCAGTGTTTCTTCACTCTTTTTGGGGCTCCTTGCTGACATCCTCTAGGACCTCCACGTCCTCATCTTCAATCTCTATCTTCTCTGATTTTCGAATGCTGCAGGTGGATTTCATTGCTGCCATGGAGCAATTCTTTGCCTGCAGCTAATCTCCTCTAACCTCCTCAATCCCATACTCTGTTGGGAATCATAATAGTTGATGCAGAGTTGAGGGAATAACCCTCATTACATGCAACCATGGCCTTCCCAAAATGATGTTGTAAAGGGAGGGTGTGTCAATTATGGTGAACTCTGTTGTTATCTTCTTGGTGCCTGTTTGCACCTCCAAGCTGGTTGTTCCCAGTGGCCATGTCGGCGTTCCATTGAACCCGACCATTGGGCTATTGGACTGCACCATATCATCTGGGTGAAGGCCAAGCTCCTTGTAACATCGGACGTACATAATGTCACAAGAGCTGCCTTGGTTAATCAGGATGAGCTTTACTTGGCATTCCCCAACCTAGATGGATACCACCAAGGCATCATTATGCGGATGCTGCACCATCTCAAGGTCGGCTTCAGAAAAGGACACTACTGGTCCTTGGTACTCCTCTACCCGATGTCTCTTCTCCCCGACTTGGTAGACATGCTGCAGATGTTTTACCTTCTGGGTCTCCCCCCGAATCTCATTTTCGTTTACCTTCGAGTGAATTACATTAATTACCCGAGGTCCTCCTACTTGTGGTTGCTGTGCTGGAGGAGGTGGAGCTGCTATCGCCTGAGGCAATCTTGCCTGTTCTTCCCTTGTTCTGGTCTCATCGACAAGGTCTCTCAGATGGCCTTGCCTCACCAGGTTTTCCAAGTGTGTTTTCAGGGCTCTGCAGCCTTGAGTCATATGCCCGTTTTCATTGTGGTAAGCACAATGCCTGCCAAGGTTTCTTCCCATGAATTCTCCTGGTGCTCTTGCTGGTGTTCTGAAATAGGGTTGGTTTCGAATTTGATCCAGGACTTTGTGAATTGGGATTCGGAACACAGTTGTCACTGCCTGTGTAGCCCTTAGTTCTATCTCCTGCTTGCTGGATTCGTTGTTACCTCGGTCTCGCTTCAGCGAACCGTTTCCTTTCTCTTGTATTTAGCTGGAGAGAACTGGCAGAATAGATGACACCTAGCTGACCTGCAACAGAAAGAGAAGATTCCGGCGGTGGTTCGTCCACCCAGGGGCACTTTGACGATCAAGTCAGTACATCTCTCAAAGATAATCAATAGTGCTAAATTCACTGTTCAGAATATAAATTGCGTACCTTAGACCCATGGGGGTGCCTCTCTTTTATAATTAACTTAATCCTTGTCCCACTAGAAGCCTAGCTTCAATGGACTCTTGCTCAGTGCTTATCCTGGACTCTCTAATAGATAAAGATAAACTCCCTAAGAGTGTTATTCTTATCCATGCTAAAGTCCTTCATCATTCTAAGACTCTCGTGCCTTATCCGCTTATCTCGGATTCCGATATCTTCGGAGATAACCTCGGCCTTGTCGAGATCACCTCGGCGTTACCACCAGGACACGTGGCACCTCGGCTGACACGTCGGCGTCACCTTGGCCACGTGTTGGTACTTAGAAAATATATCCCCACACAATCTGATGCAATCTCCCCGAAGGATGAGGGAAACACTTTACAGAGCAACGGCTCGTAAACCATGAAAAAAGGTTGCACACTTGAGTAGAAAAAGAAGAAACAAATCCTAGATGTTGGAGCATAAACACCTCTTTTTCAAGCAAACCATGAAAAAAGGCATTTGAAATATCCAATTATTTCAAGGGCTAATGATAATGAAAAGTAAGACACAAAAGAATGCAAATAGTAGGCTGTTTGACAACAGGACTAAAGGTCTCCTGAAAATCAATCCTATGCTGTTAGAGATAACCCTTAGCCATCAATGTTGCTTTATGTCGTGCAATAGTACAATCTTAATTTCTCTTGACTTTAAACACCCATTTACACCCTATGGTCAGTTTATGAGGTGGAAGAAAAACAAGAGACCATGTGTGTTAAGTATGCAAGGCATTAATTTCCTCTTGCATGGCTTTAATCCGAATAGTTGATAAGAGAGCTTCTTTGTAAGAAAAAGGTTCAGAGTCTACAAAAAGATTAGGAGAAGAAGACTTGATAGCTGATAAACAAGACTTAAACTTGGTGAGCATAGGATATGTGTTTTATTAAGGAAGGTGGAGGCAAAAAAGAAAGTTGTATAGAAATAGACTGAATAAGAATAGGAAGATCAAAAGTAAGATAAGGAGAACTAGGCTGCAGAGAATGAGACCTAGGCTGTAAAGATTCAAAACTAGACTACAGAGTGGCAGAACTAGACTGTAAAGAGACAGACCTAGACCTAAGCTACAGAGGAGTAGATTTGGGCTATAGAGAGGCAGAATTAGACTGCAGATGAGAAGAAATTTACTAAGAAAAATTGGGCTAAGAAACAAAAGGAGAAGACCAAAAAATTGATATAAAGAAGACAGACTAGAAGAAGAAGAAGAAGATTGATAAAGAGTATTAAAGGAAAACATGATTCATTGAAATGAACATGCCTAGATAAATACACTCGACCTGTAAGAGGATCCAAGCATCTATATCCTTTGACAAATGGATGATAGCTTATGAAGACACATGAGAGAGATTTGGGTTAAATCTTATGAGAGACATAAGGTTTGAGCCAAGGGAAACATTGATAGCCAAAGACCCTTAACTGAGAATAATTAGGAACAGATCTGAAAAGCAACTCATAAGGAGACTGATGTACTAATTGAGAAGAAGGCATTCTATTGATAAAAAAAGTAGCTACAACAATAGTATCAAACTAGTACTGAATAGACATAAAAGCATGATGCAATAAGGCAATAGCATAATCAATTATGTTTCCTCTCTGCTACACCATTTTGGGGTGGTGTATAAGGACAATAATGCTGATGAATAATGCTCTCAGAAGCAAGAAAATATTTCATTTTATTATTAAGTATGAAATTGTTTTTCCACATATGCTTTAAATTCCACAAATTTGGTGTAAACTTCACTTTTATAAGACGGGGGATAAAGCCAAGTGAATTTAGTATAATCATCCACAAAAAGAACATAAAACTTGTAAGGAGAAGTAGATTGAAAAGGTTCCCATACATTAGTATGAATTAAAGAAAGAGGTTGATTGCTAGTGGAATTAGACAACTGAAATAGAAGCCTATGGCTTTTAGAAACACAGCAATCAATACAATCTTAAGATGTTGATTTATTAGAAACAAAAGACAAATGCTTCTTAAGATGATGAAATTTCAAAGAACTAGGTGTAAGTTTCTGAATAATTCTGTATATTTAATTGTGTCAATTTACAAAGAGTTCATCATTTTATATAGCCCTAAATCTAAATCTATTATTGAAAAAGGAAATACTAACTAATTCCTATTTACACAATCATGCGATACATACACAACATGCCATATATACAATATATTCTCACACCCCCACTCAAACTCAAGGTGTTTTAGCAGAAAACACTGAGAGTTTGCTAAGAAGAAACTGAAACCAAGCGGTAGTGTAAGTCTTGGTGAAGAAGTCAGCAAGTTGCAAAGGCGAAGAGACAAAAGAAAGCGAGATAGAGCCAAACTACAGATGTTGTCGAATAAAGTGACAATCAATCTCAATGTGTTTCGTCCATTCATGGAAAATAATATTGTGGGCAATCTGAATAGCACTGCGGTTGTCACAATAAAGGGAGGTCGGAGAAGACTAAGGTATACCCAACTCGGTCAAGAGACAACGAAGCCAAGGAGATGACGGTGTTTATGCTCAACTCAACCATTTTAGGCAAGTGTATCTGTACAGTAAGTTTGGTGAATGGTACCCAAATTGGCCAAATACTCACAGAACTCA